TAACTTATGGTGCGATGTATCGAAGATTCATTCTTTTAGAGTAGAAACGTCCAAAATTTAAGTATGACAGAAACAAGTCTATTTAATTCGGTATAGTGCGCGACGAACTTTCTATGGTTAGAAGTGCTGAGTTGACATTTTAGTTTTTTTTCTATGAGCTTTCTTTAGAAAATTCGATTTTAATATGTTACAGTATATCATATGAGATGATAAATAAAAACGTTTTCACGAGTCTATGCTATGATTCTCATTCAACGATAATTTTGTCTTATATAAGTCAAATTTTCTACTCTAAAAAACCTTGAACATGTGATTGACTTTAATTGAACAATTCAAATATTATTTGAAGAAATGTTTGCATAAAATGCTTTTTTCTTCATCTATAAGCTTTTATCTTTCTGGAAACTTGTATTTCCTTATGAAATCCTGATTTTCAATGTTTTTTTAATCAAAATCATGGCAAACATTATTTTAGATAGGTTATTTTTGCGTTCTTTCCAAAATGTTTGAATAAATCTTTTCTGTTCTATATATATCTGATCTTGAGGATAAAGTAAATTCCAATGTTTCATTTTATTTATGATAATAAATATAAAAAAAAGTTAATAGAAACCAGATGCTAATCTCTAGTAAATGAATTTATAATCAGTTTTTACAAAAACGAACGGTTTAGATAAATAATTTAATCTGTAGAAAACAAGAGAAGAATTATTTTATAAACTTGTAGAATGTTGAAATAAATAATGATGAATATCATTTAAAAGATTTGAAAGATGATCGAAAATGTGTAAGCAGATAATCATTTATTTTTTCAAATCATTTTTAATAGTAAGTAGTTAAACATTTCTAATAGATTATTCTACATGTATATATCACGATTAATTCTAACAATAAAGAATTCATCATGATTCTATGAATGTAGTATAATTAATAGATAGACAAATAAGAAATATTTCTCTTATGTTTTCAGATTATCATTAATTCTCTTTAAATTTCACAAGAATAGTTTTAACATTAAATAACTAATTTCATCTTGATAAAACTTTTAATAAAGGTTTACACTATTGTGTATTATAATGTTTTTCTATCATCAACTATTCTGTAATAAAAAAACAAAATATCTACCATTTTTTCTTAAATGGATGAATTTTAATCTGAAAGAAAGCCAAAATATAATATAATTGCGAATAATTGAACTAACTTCTATTGAATAAAAAAAATAGAATACTATAAAATCTTAATTTTAATCCTTATCTGTCATCAGAAATATTCCGGAATGAAAATGTTTCTTTGCTTATCTCTGTTCTAATTCTAATAGCTTTTAGACTGTCAACATTTTTTAATAGACTTCAATTTCAATCAAAACCTCAATATGACTAATAACAAGATAGACATTCATCATGTAATGTTTTAAGAAAAACTAATCAAAAAATTAATCTTGATTATCATTTTAGTCAAAAATAGTTAATTCGATTTCAATAAAAATATCAAATATCCAATCAAAAGTATTGTATGTGTACTATGAATACAATATAAATGATTTAAAAAAAAGATTTTTATTTTAGATATGGACGTTATCGAAGCAAAAGATCAATTTGGATTATATGTTTTATTATTGTTACTATTTTGATTCTATCAGCAGTAATCATTGCAAAAACTATTCTTACAAAAAAAAATGAAGAATTCACTCAAAAAAATCTCAACTACAATGACAACGACAACATCAACAACATCAACAACATCAACAACATCAACAACAACAACAACAACAACATCAACAGAAGTAACAACAGGAAGAGGTATATATTTCTCGAAAAAAAAGTTCTTTATGAATGATGAGTTATTTATCTAGAACTAATTCTATGAGAAGGAGATTTTTCTTTTTAAATTTCCACATTTTCGATCACTTTATCCGAGAAAAAAAGTAGCTTAAACATTAAATGTTGACTATTACTTGATTAATTAATTTCTTTCTTTTATATTAGTTAATACCAATACTAAATGGAAACAAAATGGAATTATCTTTGCTGGAGGCTGTGGCGAGGGTGATAAATTAGATCAACTCAACCACCCTAGGGGAATCGATATTGACGATGATGGTTCGATATATATTGCTGATTTTTACAATCATCGTATTGTTAAATGGATTTTAGATGCAAACTATGGTGAAGTTGTTGCAGGTGGAAACGGTCGTGGAATAAGTATAGACGAGCTAGATTGTCCAAAAGATGTGGTTATTGATAAAGTGACTAATTCAGTCATCATTTGCGATTCAAATAATCATCGAGTTGTAAAATGGTCTGTTCAAAATCCGAAAAACCGACAAATACTCATTTTAGAAGTTACCTGCGATAGTTTGGCTTTGGATAATAATGGAGATCTATATGTCAGTGATTGGAGAAATAATGAAGTAAAACGATGGAAACAAGGAGGAAAATATGGAGTAGTTGTAGCTGGTGGAAATGGAGAAGGAAATAATCTTAATCAACTCTTTTCTCCTAGTAATATCGTAGTCGATCAAGATTATTCAGTTTATGTATCGGATAAGTCCAACCATCGTGTGATGAAATGGTTAAAAGGTGCAGAAGAAGGAATTGTAGTTGCTGGTGGGCAAGGTGACGGTGATAATTTCAATCAATTAAGTTATCCCAAAGGATTGGTTGTCGATCATTTGAGTAATGTTTATGTGGCTGATCCTGGGAATCGTCGAGTGATGCGTTGGCCAAATGGATCTCGAGAAGGTAGCATTATTCTTGATCTACATAGCTGTTTAGAAAACCCAAAAAATTTTTGTATTCTCGATGATATATCATTCGATCGACAAGGAAATCTATACATCGTGAAAAGCTTCGATCATATAGTGCAAAAGTTTGATATTGATGATTGATATTGATCTTATAATGAAATGATTTATGAATATTATTTGTCTTTTGTGAAAGATTTTATTTTGTCAATTGAAAATTAATAAATAAAAGAAATTATAAATATATTCAAGAGACTACACAAGTTTGAATGACAATAGAGATATTAGTGTATATTCATTAGAGTGTGTGTTAAGTCGTTCCTTAACATTATATTATTCACAGTCACGTCTACTTATATCTTCTCATCCATTCCCTTCTTTGTTATCAATATAATAATACGTCAAAAAAATCTGATATTAACATATTCAGTTTTATTTTATTTCATTTCATAATTTATACTAAAAAATCTATGACATATATTGGAGTAAAAATAATTACATGTGAATATCTATATATATAAAGAAGAAAGTTTGTCTGTCTGTCTGTCTGTTTGTTCGCTATGCATTCAGTCCCTGTAGTAGCTATCGACGTGAAACTTTCCACAAAGCTTCCTGAGACCCAGAGGAAGGTCGACATCTACTTTTCCCCGTGAACAAAGGAACCAGCCGTTTGTTGCAGGCAATATATGAAACGGACCAATAGGAATGAGAGATTTCCAAAATTGAGAAAATTAATAGCGAAGGCGGCCGAAGACCGTCTGAGCGCTCATAGACAACAATCCACGTGTTCTCTACGCCTATGATAGTTCGGTGAATGCTACAGATAATCTGCGAAACTCACCAATAGCGTTACAGGTTCTCAAAAGATTAAGATAAATGATGAGGGCGGGTGAATTCGAAGGATATAAGGCATGAAATGACGTGAGAGTGAGAAAGAGGTCGATGAATGAATAGCTGGAGTGGAAAATGAATATTAGAGAAAGGCAAAATTTTCATAATTTCTGAGGCAGAAATTGGCTTCGGGAACTCTTTTGCATAAAAATATATAGCCGAAACTGCCATTTTATGCGATGCACGGCGGAAAAATAAGGAGTGGAAGCGTAGAAATTTGAATTATACCGATTTTCTACCTGTTATAGCTCTTCAAAACGTGAGATGTTCGACATAGATATTTCTTATTTACAGCGGGTCTCCCTCTAATTATTATAATATACTTCAAATGGTATTGCACTATTTCAAATAAAAAAAAGTAATGAGATCTTTCTTCTTCATATTATATATCATGAACATTATAAATAAAATATTCTATTTATCACAGCACACAAAGAATAATATTGTTTCAATCTTCTTTTTTTCAAATAATAAATTCATAGGTAAAATACATAATTTCTATTAATTATTATTCATTTTCGAACAAATTATAAGATAGCTCAAAAATGAATCGTATGCTACCAGAGCTCCGCGGGACAATTAAAAAGCTGTCCCGTCCCGCTTCATTTTAGAATTTCCTTGTTGAATCTAGTTAATTCATTTTAACTTTTTCAAGTATTTTAAATTACTATTAGGATAATCAAAAAAATGTTGTTTCATCTCACAAAATTATTTGTGTCATTAAATATTCAATGTTCCATAAGTAAGAGTTTCGATTACTGCTCATCGAGTTACTGATCTGACAAAAAGTATGTTATTGAGATTATCTGGATTGATTGAGGATCGACGTTCAGTCATAACAAGACCGCCAACACTAAATTCACGTTCTACAGAAGTTGTCGTTGCAGGAATATAATGAATCATTCTCGCCAATTTGGATAATAATGGCAAATTGTTCTGATTTGTCTTCCAAAACACCAAAGGATTGTCGACGAGCAGCTCAGAATCTATGAACATTGACAAGTACTTTTCAACTTCATCATCTTCTGCTGAATTGTACTCGTCACTGAGATTACTAGCTTCATATTCTTGACCGAATCTTTTTTTTTTCTTGAGAGGTGGTTCACCTTTTTCACCTTGTCGAATCAAACGTTGTGATTCTTGACTATGTGTTAAACGCTTCACCTTTTCACGCTCAACAATTTCTTTCAATTGTCTTCGCACATAACTTTTACAAGAATCAACTTGAGCAGTGGAACATTTACGAAGGTATCTATATCTGGGATGAAGAAATGTTGCTGCAAAATGGATTGGTTCTAAGATAAACATGGATTCCAATAATTCAAGTAGACGAAGTCGAAAGAATCGAATGCCTGAAAGCAAGAATAGTTTTGTTGCGGTTTTTATAGAAGTATTTATTTCGTATACAAATATGGAACTTACCATCTGGTTCCTCCACCTCTATATCATATTCATCATCACCATTATCTTTTCTCTTCTTCAAGACATCGTTGCAATCATCGTTTTCTCTGTTGAAAAGAACTAAGTTTTCGAAAGAACTTAAGGCTTTACGTAAAGTCATAACACAAATAAGAACTAAATACAATGATGGTTCATTTCCTTTTTGTGCGATGGTTAAGATATGTTTGAATGGACGTAATGAATGTATAAGTCGTTTAATAACCAATCGATCAATCAAAAATGACTTTTTCTTTTCTTGTAAAACCTTCTTTGTCTCTTTAAAAGAGCGATCAATTGATCCTAGTAATTCCATTATTGAAAGCCATCGAATTTTGCTTGATTGACACAAGCTAAACCCACCCTCAGATTGAATATTTTTATTCAATCCGTTCTACAACATGAAAGAAAACCAACTATCTACCCATTGAATAAATCCTACTCATTAACTTACTAATTTGACATATTTCACAACATCTTTACAATTGTTGAGCACCTTCAAAATCTCTCGTACGCAATCAGGTAGATCTTGAACTTTTGTCTTTGACATATTGATAAGAACAATACCGTCAGTATCATTGTTCAAAGAACAGCAATTAAAAATACCATCTGAGTTGGTTTCATTTTCACCTGTCATATCAGAAAAAGCTTTTGTTTGTTTTTTGATTGACTCGTTCTGGTAGAAACCTAATACTAGGATGTTGTTCAATCTATGTGCAAAGCAGAAATACGAAGAATAATTCTTCATTGCTTTTACAAAATTGGAACCACGATCTGTTACAAACTGCAGAGTAGACAAATCATTGATGTTGAATTTTCCTGATGCTTTTTGTAAAGCCTAAGAAAAACAAATAATTAAAGTGAGAAAAGAAAAATGAAACTTACCACTAGAATATTTTCAGCAGTTTTATCTTCTTCTTCGAATGGAGAACAACAAAGATCATATGATCGATACTCAAATCTATCATTAACGAATGTTGCGGAAACTCCAAGATAAGAAACTTGATGAACAGGATCACTCCATAAATCAGGAATAAAAGTTACAGCTTCATTTTCAAGTGGTTCAATTAGGTTTTCACTGATACGAATACGATGTTGATCAGCAAGCTTGGACACATGTGCAGCAGTTGCATCAGCACCTCTCAACACTTGATCAACATCAATATAACCATGACGAGCACCTTAAAACGGACATCACAAACAAAAATTGAACTTGATTACCATCAGTGATGGAATTGGTTTGGTTTGACATTTGCAAAAGTAAAGTGAACACATATTTTGTTGACGTTGATTAATAAGAGCAGCGGAGAAACATATAGTCAGAACAAAAAAGATGTCGTCTGCGAAGTTAAAATAGTGATACTCGTCTTATTGGAATGTCTCGTAATTCAATTACAAACGATGTAGAAGTGAAGAATTAACAATATTTTGATATTTTCTTTAGAAAGATTTGAGAATTGAGATAAGTAATTGTTATTATTTTCTGTTTGCTTCTTTATAAAGATTTCTCTTATTGTAAAATTTTTAAAAAATTCAAATTGTTTGGCGTTCGAATCAGTTACCTGGGTGGATTGAATTTTTGATTTATCACTATTGCTAGAGAAATCAACAATAGAATCATTTTTCAAAGAATCACTTATAATTCTGTATCGCACAGAATTTTGTAATCTCCTTCCATATTAGAAATTCATGAAGGCCTCTAATGGTGCCAACACCAAAAATTTTTGGAGGTAACTTTTAATGTGTTCTATAAGTTTCAAATAATTTAGATATTCAAGTTTTCAGTTCTGTTCAAACTTTCTCCAGGAGATTATAGACCTAATTTTGAATTTTAAACACATTTTAAACTCAAAATTTAATTATTTTTTAAGCTTGGCTATGAAAAAGATGCCAAAGGTTCAGAAAAAAGTGCTGAAAAAGATTTTAATACACGGATGTTTTTGATATGGTTCTCCTAGTCGAAATTTAAAAAGGAAACTTCTAGTATTTGGGAGGAGCAATATATTTCGGTTCAGTTCGGTTCGATAATTAAAAAAATCATTCGGCGCGGTTCGGCTTGATTTTGCAAAAACACGAACCGATCGCATCACTGATTACCATAATGAAAGAGTGAAACAACTAATAGATGGATTTGTTTGAGCAGCATCATACAAGCCTGATAATGATGACGAAGTTGTAAAAGCTATTGATACATTTAAACAATGAAATTCGATATTTTTTGGAATAAAATATTCAATGAATTAGTTTCAATGCGTTTTATTTGAAAAAAAAAATTTCCAGCACATCAAGATAAATCTTGATTTAGAAAAATGACTCACACTCTATCAGAGATGAGCAAAATGAGTTTAAGGAAAATTCCAACACAATATTCATCTCACGATCGATAATCAACTAGATTACTGATTCAACCAAAGAGCTATATAGTCGTACACAGCCATTCTATTAAGATAAATAAAGAGTGTTCCAGAGAGGATGGGCCTTTTCATATTTGGCTGACATCTTCATCAAAGCTAATCCGTTCGGAATCAATTTTTAAAAAGATTCATCGTTCCATTCTTTACAAAAAAAAGCTATACTTCCTATTTCATATCAACTTCTTCTATCTTTGATATAGAATGAAAAGTAAAGATCTTCAAAACGTAGTTCTTCATAAATACGAAGATGGTGATGGACTTAACAAAATCTTTCGGAATTTAAATGGTTCTTTGGGCTTGATTACTATCACAAGATGGTGCAAAATGAGCCGTGACACTGGTTCTATCAAACTGTCAACATTACCAGGCGTTCCACGTTTTGCTCGAACCAGCATAACGATCTAAACAAGATGGTGTCAGCTAGAAGTGTGACTAAAGATTATGGTATTTCCAGATCGAGTGCACATCGAATATTGACGGAAGATCTTGATTTCTATGCCTACAAGATGACAATTGAACCTAAACTCACAGAAGAACAAAACAAAACAAACAAAAAAATTCGTTAATTGGGTTGGTAATAACTTTCAAAAAGAAGATACGATGAATATTTTATTTTCTATCTAGAGGGTGTGGATCAGCGTATCCCTTCTTCACCCACACTCATCCTAAACTACATGGATTTCGTTAAAGTTTTCTTGATTCGTTCGAGAGCAGTTGCACTTGTCTCTACAAAATTCTAAGGCTGTTGTCACTATTGACGGCGTGTCGAACAATCAATAGAGTTTTGTTTTCATTTACTGGTATTTTTTATTGAGAAAGACGTTTTAAAGCTTCTTTTACACAGCCGTTTTGATACTGTTTAAAAAATCATGAACTATTTGCTTTTTTTCGTCGGTGGAAGAAAACATAAAGACGAAAAAGATCTCGTTTTCTTCGACAGGAATATCTCTTTAAGCGTTCGCTAACAATAACTATTCTTTATGAAAAAGAAACACAATCTGTTTTAGATGATTTTTATTTGACAATTAAACAATAATGAATCTTAGGTTTCTATTGATAGTATTTGAGAATGATTTACCGTTAATATAATATTCTATGTGAAAGCGTTGAGAAAGTATGTTTAATCAAAAGTAAAGAAGGTTCTTGTTTTCCACATTTGGATTAATAAAAATGACTTTCATCATTCTATTGTTAAAATTAAAAACACAATTAGTGTTTTTATCTCTGTAAATTTTTGTTTGTTCTGGCTGTATTGACTGTTGGAACAATATTCACACGAACACCTCTTCTTTGACATAAGATGCATAAAAAAATGAAACATTTCTTAAATTCGCTACGAAATAATGTTGAAGTTAAGCAATGAACATAGAAATTTATCTAAATAGAATTAAATTAGTTTTATTTCTCTAATACATTAGACCTACTGAATAGTTAATACCCAAAAACCAAGTTAAAATTACAGTCATACTTGTGATAAATGGAATATTCAGATCAACGGAACCGTATACCAAATAAACATATAGAATACGATATACACCAATCTGAACAGTTGTAGTGAAAAATATGATGACATTTGACAGCATGAGAAGAAATAATTGATTTTGTACACGATAGTTGTGTCTAATTGTTTGATTCCGATTTTGATTATGGACTTGGTGATGTATAGTCTTTTTTTGAAGACGTATCTTGATAAACATATCAACAATAAAAACTAATATTAATCCAGCAGGAGCAAGACAACTGATCAATGACTATCAATGAAATGAACTTATTAACAAATGATCAATATGAAAGTATCTTACTTGTAGAATAGGCCATTTTAGATAATAAAAATCGATAAAATCATCTAATACACGCAACATTGGTATACAATCAAAATATGGTATCGCAGAACCTGACGATCCAAACAATGGTGTTAAGAACATAACATGAAGACCTATGGTGATACTACATACAATAGCTATAGCTATCAAAGCTTTCTTTTGAGTGCAAATAGCAGCTGATTTGTATGGAAATCGTGTGCGAATCCATCGATCCATTGCAATAATGACAAGAATCCATGCTGAACAGAATTGACTCGCATTCATCAGAAATTCACGCCAGCGACACATAAAATTGAAATCAATGCGCTTATCCAGTTGAAACCGTAAACCATACTTAATAAAATCAAAAATTAATGCAGATAAAAAACATACATCTGAGATAGCTAAAGCAATAAATAATGTACCAGTTGAACTCGCTCTTAGTACTGGCCGAGTAAATGTAATTAGACTAGCACTATTACCAGTATAACCAATAATGAATAAACTCAGATAACCCCATAAATAAAATTTCATACCAAGAGATGGATAGAAATAGTCTTCAAAGAAGCTTTCATCGCGGAACTGAACGAGCACAGCAGATGTATTTTCCATACTGTTGAAAAACAATCTATATTGATTAATAATAAAATATGAAACAGAAGACTGCAGTAGATATATATATATACATTCTTTTTCTCTTCTTTCTTCTCATTTTTTCTCGTTTTCTTTTCTTTGCATAACTCTAGGTTATAATTATGTAAAGAGAGAGAGAGAGGAGAAGCATTTATCCATCATTGAAAATTTCTCGCAAAAAATCATTGGAAAACCTGACCGAGTTAATATCATATATTGATATTTATGTAGCCTAAAGTGTATCAGATCTATCTATTTTGTGAATCATACAGATTTGTACGCTCTTTCAAATGAAACGTTGGACGAGAAAAAAACGGACAAAATATGTCCAGGATTATAGGGAAAATACTAGTGATGACCCTTTTCTTTGAATTTTCAGTAGCGGCAGTGCTAGAATTTCCACTTACGGAGGGATAAACCATTCAAAAAATATCCAGGGTGGACTCAGCCGACCTCAGCTCACCCTTGGCGCCGTCACTAGTTTTCGGATCCCTCTTTGTTTCAATACTTGTAACTCCATCAGATTACAGTGTACAAGTCTAAAAAATCTTTCACAACCTCAGTTTTGCGAGAGGAATTGAGTGGCGAAAAAATTTATACATTAATTGTGATAATAAAATTGAGTTCTTCGATGGGCTCATGAAGCCCCTCTTAAAAATTAGAAAATCTTAAGTATTCAGACTAGTATGACGCACATTCTGCTCGAGTTCTGGAAAAGCTTTTCAAATAAACATGTCATAATTATAGCGTAAATACAGCTTAAAATGTCAGAGAAAAATTAAAATACAATTACTTTCAGATTATAATTTCTTGTACCCAGGTCGAACAATCTCATACTCGGTCCCATCGGATCCAATACTGAATTTTATCGGATCCTACAGGAATTCGACGGATCCGAAACATGGATTTCCTGGATTTTCTAAGGGTCATCATAGAATATAGCTAGAAAGATCGCTCATATAATTTGCAACAACCGACGGGATTTTTCTAGTCGGATCCAGCATTGGATCTGTTGACCTGGGTAGTGCTTATTCGTTCATAAAATTTTTTTATAAAAATAAAAAAAGTTGTAATAAACCCTTTGGTAATGAAATATTTGTGGCAAAATAACGTTTAATAAAGTGAAAATACAAGTTTGCACAATCAAGAAGATCGCTATTAACAGTGTTTCAGGGTATAATAACTTTTTCCAATAATCCATTATGGAATTTATGGGATGCCCACTCAGTGAGGAAGCAAATTATGGTTTTCAATTTTTTTCTTTTAGATCGCTATTTAGTTCTCATATTTATACGACAGATATTAAATTTTACGCGTAAAATATAACGAAGTCAGTGAAAAGCGTGACATCCATATATTTGTTCTTATTTTGCACTCTATTCCTATAATCCTTTGTCCTTTTCTTCTTCGAAAGAGCATATAAGTCATCATTTTGTGTGAAAACGATGCGATATATGATATGAAAAGTAAAGGAAAGCGTAGGTTCATCAGCACTGCAGTCTCTTCTATCTAAAATCATCAGATGAAACATGTAGCATCTACACACTATCTTTGAATCAGGATTTGTTCAAAAGCGTGCAAATTCGGAATCATCATACGGAAGAAAATATTTCTGATACCTAGGCATGCACTCACACCCAAAACCAAGGTTTTGCAGTATTAATTTGGAAATGATTTTGAGATATTATTCCCTCGACTGAAAGGAGGATCATAAGGAAAAAAATACTTTGTCTGTCTGTGTGAGGGTCGAAGGTAAAAAAACGGGTACTTGTAATTTATGCAACCAGCACAACCACCCAACTTTTTGAGACACGATGATACTGCTCCCCACAAACACCCACAGCTTGATGAGTTATGCTCATAACTGCCTACACTCACCCACTTTAAAAGGAACTTAGAGAAAATAAACCGCTAACAAACATGAAAGAATGGACCTCTTCAACACAACCATCCAAAATCCCTCTTATGGTCTTTACAAACAACACTGTGGGTGCCCACAACCACCCACAGAATCACTCAATCTATTCATTCATGTATAACTGAAATGTATTTTCAATTATATTTATGAAGGAAACACTTGAAAAATACAGAAAAGCTGTTAAAATAACCTAAAAGAGATAAAAATATTTAAAAAAGAGAAATATTCTTTTTTATAGAGTTTGAAGCACTTTTCTAAGCACTATAATGGAGGAATACTCGAAAACTAATACAAAGAAGCTTGAGGGTGGGTGAGGGTGCGGGTGTTCGGAATGAGTGGCACGAAACGTAGTTCACCCCTTTCGAACGTCCACACACCTTCACCCACCCTTTCATCGTGACACGAACCTGAGAGAAGGTTCTAGCCAGTCCAGTAGATCCATTGCGATCAACTCTAAACGAGAAAGACGATAGAATATGGTTTATTAAATATTATTACTTACCTACTTGAATACCAGGCTATTGAGAATTTTCCGTCGATAGTTTTGCACCGATATAGTGACGACTAGTGAGAAAAACTAGAAATAAATAGAAAATGGAAAAAGCATGGATATTTATAGGGTCTCACCGGACGGTCTATTGAAAACTGGACGTCCGCTGGCGTAAAGGGCTCTGTCTTTCAATGAGTCTTCTCCTTTTCCTAACTGAACCAATGGCAGATATCAATGGTTTGGTAGAGGGTTCGCCGAACAGGAACAATAATTATGAGATCAATAATTCTTTTGCGGAACTTATACGTAACTACCGACCAGTAAAAAATATATTTGTGTATACGAGTAGATTATGGGAAACCTTGAGCCGCTATACGCAAGTAGGGATAGTTTGGTACAAATACTGCCAAGCCTTCATTCACTTGACGGAGTAAATAATGATTTCCGAAAGGTTATACTGAACTAATCAGAGGCATACAGAACTCGTCATAGTTAAGTGTNGTTGTTCAAGTGTGTTTCAAGGATTTCCAAGAACATAGATTACTTTCCGATCCAACTCTTCGACCAACAGTGAATGAATTAAAAACTTTGCTTAATGAGTATCTCAGTCATAATGAAATTCTTTTATTTGAACAATACGATTCTTTAGAAAGATTACATTCACAAATGAATCGTATGACAAAATCATTTCAAGACGAAATTATTCTCAATAACAAAACGAATGACAATGAAGAACTAACATCGACGAGTGATGAAATCAATCCTGAAGATCCTGTCACAGAAGTTTTATTTCTTCTCACACAACTTCAGACATCGATTGATCATTGTTTAAACGTATATCGAAGAAGCCTTTTTCAATTTCTCTTAATGCATAAAGCAGATTTACGCGGGATTTTATTCTCGAATATTCCGTTAACAAAAGAACGAATTAATTCTCATGCGAGAAAATTATCGAAAATCTTTCATCCTGATAGAACAACAAATGAAACGGATAAAAATGATTTTCGGGAAATCTTTCAGTGCATTATCAGTTGCAAAGACGATCTATTAAATGAATTAACACAAAATGGAACAATTTGCGACAAAGAACTGGTTCGAAGATACAAAACCGAAGGGCTAAAATTATGGGAAATCGCTCGAGATTACAGTCGAGCAAGAAATAACAATTGGAAAGACTGTGTTCACTTGAATGAAGATCAATTAAAAAATCACACAGAAGCTGAATTAAAAAAACTTCAAAAAACCTATTCTCTATTAGCATATGAACAATATCGTGCAGCTGCATTGGCACTTGCAATGGGAGGTTCAGTAGAAGATCGGAGCGATTTGAGACGAATGATGGCTATTACACTTTATACCGGTGAAGAGTATTTACAAGCACAAATGTATACAATTGCTGCTATGCATATAATATTCAATGGAACTAATAGTCCGGAAAGTATATCGAAAATAGGTGATTTACAAAAACTATTAGGAAAAATCCAAAATATTCATCAACAACCTACGGCAACATCAAATACCGAATTATCATCTTCAACTCAGCTTGTTTCCCTATCCAATCAACAATCGTCTTCAGTTATGCTAAAAGCGCAAATCAAAAACGAACTAAAATCTGTTGTACTTCAACAATGTTTAGTTCGAGGCGAAGAAAAACAAATTAAAACACCACAAGAATTAATCTTAGCTGCCAAAACCAAAGTCGCTCAATACGACACTCTAACAGCTACAATGTGCGGAGCAACTACTCTCGCTGGTGTAGCTACAGGCGCTCAAGTGTATCAAACCATATCAACGGGACTTTTGTTAGGCTCAACAGTTGGACCAGTTGGAGCGGTTCTTGGAATTACTGGAGGATTAGTCATCATTGCTGGTGGAGCTCTATTAACGAAAAAATCTTATGATAGTGCTCGGAATCTTTCGGAAGAGCCAGCAATACGTAGTGTGCTTAATGAACGATTGCCGAAAGCCATGGATTATTGTAAACACCAAATGTATAGTGAATTTTTATATCTATTAGCTTTGCCATACTGGGAGAAATCACATCTGCTAAGAATCGAAGTTCATGAAGATTCGATTGAAATCAAAATTGATTCTCAACATATCATCAAACAATTATTAAAACATGAATTTCGTCCGGATGGAATTGCTTATCTATTAATCTTAATTGGTGAAGCATTACTCAATAAACCAAAATTAACCGCACCGGAATCCAAGGATAAAAACGCGAGTCTACGTCAACCAACCCAATCGACATTTCATGAATTAGCATCGATTTTATTTCGTGATGTTTTTAAGAAAAGTTTGCCATTACAAGACAAGGCTAAACAATTAGATGCTCAAGTACAGAAAAAGCATTTAGACAACTTAACTTTAAACAAACTTCAATATTTTTGGCGTTCGATGGTCTCATCAAAATACTCCTCTTATGTTTATTCCATCCCGGAAGAATATTTCAAAGATGCATTGAAAACTCCATTTACAACTCGGTTAGACGAACTAGGTGATATCGCTCGTTTGAATTACGCAATTACACAAATCATCATCGGTGGAGTCGACAATCTGGATGAAAGCCAAGAAACGATTTTAGAAATCAAACGAAAGAAGATTGTGACAGAAAATAATCAATTTTTCCAAGTATCACAATTGACAATGCAAGCTATCGATGATTTGATAATGGCATTTGGTTTAACACCAAAACCATTGGTTGATCAGAATCTTTTAGCATTGGAAAATAAATTTCTGTATGAAAATATTCATATGATGATGGATGGAAATGTCGC